GTGAATCCTTTCACATCTTCCTCCTTGCAAGGTTAGACGTGGTTTCTGGGGTTCTCTTATCCCACACAGGAATTGCCTCCACACTATATACAAGGATCAATTGATATTCTTGCTTCTAATTAGTGTAAGATTTCTTTGTACCTTCTAGGCCATTCTCTCATACACAGCCTAACATCCTGATTAATTTTGGCATATGCTGCTCCCCTTGTCAAACCCAATTATACTGTAGCCCCTGTTACTTAGGGGTTTGACAGCAGTTCATAAAGCAATTTTTATTTGGGATGAGATTAGACTCTCTTGCTCTAGTTTGGAGATGGTGATTGCTTCCCTGCAGCTGCTTTCTCTGCATTTTTCCCCCTTATTTTTCTGGCAACATATTGGTGCTGGAGTTATTGGATTTCAGGCTGAAGTGGAAAGGAGTATTTGGACTCATTCTCCAGCCATCCCAAGGGTGTGCTCTGGGTATGTGATCCTAGACAGGGAGGCTGGGAAAAGAGGATATCACCAAAGAAACCATTCTTGTCCTTAGAAAATTGCACTAGTGTTCACTACTTGCCCTAAAGGTCCACAGCTTTTCCTCTTTAACTGGAAAAAAAAAAGAAAAAAAATAAAGAAAGAAGATAAAGAATGTACAGGCTTATTTAGCTGAGCCAGGCTCAGAAAGTGCCTATATCTATAATTTTATAATTTAAGCGTGAGATCCAGGTGAAATTATAGTGTGGCTACAATTTGCTTTCTCTGTGGGCCTCTTTAAAGGTGGGCAGACACAGACAGAGAAAGATACAGACATGGATAAAGTGAACATTAAGACCAAGGACACAGATATGAAGAGATTGCTTAAAACCTTTATAGTGCACCCATCAGACAGGCAAGCACTGTGTGAAGTGTCAGCCCCAGAGGAAGCTCCAGTTAGTCAGGCTCTGTGAAACACAGTACATACAATATTTTCTCCAATGGTCTCTTTTCTAAAAAAATGGCAAGGGTTCCCCCAAGTGCTATATCCTGTTCAGCATCTCCAGCTACAAAAGTTTATTTACAGTTTGCATTAGTCAAGAATCCAGTCTCTTTTTGCAGGCACTGGACTTTTTCTCCAGTTGCAAAGGAATTGTTTGCACCAGATTTTGGTTTGCCTTACCAAGGTATCAGGAACCTGTGGGATCACCTGAACTTGTCTCTGCAATTGTCTCTGCAACACCTCCCACTGCAGCACCTTAGTAAAAATATCTTATAGCAAAATCCTTCATCTGCATTTTCTCAGGCTTTATTTTTATTTCTCATTAGGAATTCACTAAGGAAAATGGAAGAAACAAATACTTGAAGAAGGGACCAGAACACACCTACCCCTTCCTGAAATGAAGGAAACTTTTACAAGGTTCAGGAGGATTTAAAAATTCTGACATTTTTTATTTTCTAGTTAAAATAAACTTTAATTTAAACAACAGTGGAATAGATCTTATGTAGCTGGAAGTATTTATTTATTCACATGAAGCTCTTTAATATAGGTAAAAATCAAGTACATTGAAAATATAGTTTCTGCACATTTTATATTAACTGTGGGCACTGCAGTTTGTTCATATAGAAATTTTAAAAAGTATAAATCATGGTTCTTTAGTTGGTCCTAGCGAGGCAGCAGACATATTTTTTTTTTTTTATTTTGCCTTGTTCTGCAGCTTTATGGGGCATGTCAACATTGTCCCAACATTCCTTGTCATTAGCAGGCTAAAACACCTTCTATTTCCTGGAGATTAGACACCAGAGAGAAGAGGTTTTGCTGTATCCCCTCTGTCTGCTGAGACAGCTGTAATGGCTCCGTGCACCTGTGGCACAATAGCCACCAGCAGCCAGCTAGAATTGTTTATTGTTAATGAGGCATATAATTGCTGCAGTTAATCCAGCTCCTGAGGTTACTAGGTAAAGGGAGGAAAACTGCAGTGAAACTGGATAGGGTTACAGAGTGAGCAGAGTGTCTCCAGCATTTAATTTAGCTCTAACAAGGCAGTCAGTGCTAGATCTCGACTGATTGTTAAAGAGCACTTACTGATGTTAATAACCATAATAATCAACTATAACTGGCATAAATTAATTCAGCATTACAATACAGAAGTAATAAAATGGGTAATCATTATGCTCTTTAAATTATATTAATGTGCACATTCAACCATATCAAATGGTTTAACTGTTAACCAATATAGCAATAGTAAATTAATTTGGAAGAAATGCAATGCAGCAAACAAACCCTAATTGCCATGGTAATTTCTATTTAATTTGACTACATTGTCCTGTTGAAAGGGAAAAAACTAAAATATGTAGGGTGAGGAAAAAATATGTTTAAGTGGCTCAACATGACTAATTGAAAGAAAGCTCTACAGTTCTGTAGTCTCATTTCTCTGTGCTTGGTTCCTTCTATATCACAGTCTCCTCTGGCCTTCCAAAGACTACCTTGCTCCAGATTTGCCTTTGATATTTGTCCAGCCAACAAGCAGCTGGCTGTGAGCCCCCAAATGTCTCAATACAATATTGACAGAGTGTTCCCAAGTGATTTATTAACAGATTAAGGGACAGGAACAAAATACAGGCATATCCTATGCATCCCTTCAACCCAGGAATCTCAAAATAGCAGTATGAGTATTTTTACAAAGCTGAGTTGGAAGAAGGTTAGAATTTTTATATAACTAAATGTATGTGGTACCCAAAGGTCTGGGTGAATAGAAAATGGATTTCACTAAATGCTAAAGCTGCAACACACTTCTTTTAAAGCTTTGCTGCTGTACAAATAAACCAGAGGCAGGGAGATATTAATTAAACAGCCAAGGCAAAAAATCTACAGCTGCTCCTGCTGCAGTCCCACAAGGGTCTAGATGCTGCTAATTCTTTGCATCAGTAAATACAAAGGTTCCCATTTCAAATCCATGAAATGTGAATCCACTGCAGTCAAGATATAGGTGGCAATTCTTTGTCTGCACTTTTGTTGTATTTTGTTTTCACATATCACCATAACACTGTCCTGGCTCTCTCTACATTTTAGTGTTTGTATATCAGTGGAGGGAGCAGTTCTTACAGAGAAGAATAAAGGTCTGAGGTCTAAGATAAGCAGCAATGAAGGGAGAAACCAGGCAAGAGATTGAAGCACAAATCTGTGCATGGGGAGAGGGGCAAAATTCGGAGCTTTCTGTCTCTCTATTCCTGCCACCAGTGTCAAGCCTGGGATGCCCCTGAACTCTGAACTGGTTGCAGCAGTAAATGCAACCTCATTGAAGTAATTTAGTATCAGCCCATTAAAAACTCATGAAAGAAGAATTAGACTGCCAAAAGCATTTTCAAAAAGATTGGAATAAAATTCCTCCGTTTACATGTACTGTTTTCAATTAGCTGGAAAAGATGTTTTGAAAAATCTTTTTTGCACAGAATTCCTAAAATATCTTGAAATTTGTACTGTGCTGCTTTCAGGAGATGCTTATGATATTTGAAGCTGCTGATTGTAACTGGTTTGGAAGCTAAACACCAGCCACTTGGCAAAGTGCTTTAGCAGTCAGGTAGTTGCTCCTCTGAGCTTTCTCCAGGAATAAAAAATCAGAGGGGATTTTCTTTCAGTCAACAGGACGAGCTGAACAATCAACCATGTCTCCTGGGACAGAGGTGGGGGGAATATATATAAAAAAGTCAGTCATTTCTGGAGACATTTAATCTGTCTCTTTTCTACTGGGGAATTAGAAAGCTGGAATTGTCATTATGTTGTCATTTTATATCTTCAATAAAATATATCTTAATTCCCAGTGTGAGAATCAGTATTCTCATTGGATTCTTCTGATAGGAAGACCTGGCCCTTTTTGAGATGAATCAGATTTTTCTTCAGGAAAATAGCAGCACATAACCTTTTAGCATTAAAATGAGTTCATGCTACTTTAAAGAGGAAAAATAAGTCTAATACTCTGCTTTTGAATACCTCATAGTTACTTTGCCTGATGTCAAAGCCAAGCACAGCTGCAGTGGAGCAGCTTCTCTTCCTGTCCCAGACCACAACATGCAGACCTGTGGGGTGTTTTATTGTGGCACATCTGTCTCACCTTGTGAAGTTATTTTGTTTAATTTATCTTGAATTTTTTCCTGCTGTTGTCACTTTCTGCTGAGCTATAGGAAAGGAAGCGAGGCCTCCACATCATGATCCACCGTGGGAGTGCTCTCACACACCTGACCTAAAGCACTTGCTTGGGTTGTCTCAATTGTTGATCATTGACTCTGGGAGGAGCTACTCCCTTGCTCCAAATGAATTTTTCCCTTCAAATCATCCCCCAAAATGACTGAACATTTATGTGAGAGGCAGAACCAGGATGGCCCTTGAGGAGTGGCCATAGCAAACTGCATCAGAAAGTACAGAAAACAAAGAGAAACTCATAGTTACTTTTAGTCACAAATAATTTCTTATTTTTTAGCCAAGGTGGAAGAAATTACTATTTCCAAGAGTTGAATTTTAGCTATAAGCTTTTTACTTGTAGTTTCTATTTTGGTGCTTTACCTTACTGTCCACCAAAAATTTGCTTATCTAATAATCCACCCCAAAATGTATTGACAAAGAATTTATTGAAGTTTGACTAGTTCAAAACTCCCGAACCTCATCAATATGAATGAGGAAAAAAGGAAAGAGGAAAAAAAGGTAAAAAGAGACCATCGATGTGCGAGTGTTTCAAGTGACGTCAGCGCTCCGGCAGATGACGTCACGCCCTTTGTCGCGCGCCTGGCGCTATCGGCGGGTGTTTAGCGCCATCTCGTGGCCGCGCGCGGTACCGAGGCTGACGTTTCTTACTACCTTTTCTTTTCTTTATTTATTTTTTCTTTTTTTCTTTCTTTTTCTTTTTCTTTTTCTTTTTCTTTTTCTTTTTCTTTTTCTTTTTCTTTTTCTTTTTCTTTTTCTTTTTCTTTTTCTTTTTCTTTTTCTNTTTCTTTTTCTTTTTCTTTTTCTTTTTCTTTTTCTTTTTCTTTTTCTTTTTCTTTTTCTTTTTCTTTTTTTTCTTTTTTCACAATCCTTGATTCCTCTTTATGGATGCACTTTGAACAGTGATTCTGTTAGGAAAACTGCTTTTCTCTGCAGGTAGCATCACACAGTTCCTGTAAAACAGTGCATTTCAGATACTACACTCTCATGTGCTGTGAATAAATAGGCTCAAAATATCACCTGATATTTTTTTAAGAAATGCCAAAAGAGAACATAAGATTCTGACAAGAATGGTTTAAATTATTAATGGCAAAACCGACTTCACTTATTTTAAAATTTGTTTTGCAACACTTAGTATAGACATCACTGTTTTACCCACACCAAAAAAATCTCTGCCACCATTATCCCACAGATTCTGAATTAAGCTGGAATATTTACTAAACGATATTTTCCCCCCACCATTACCGGGACTACTTTTCTCACAAAACTTCTTTATTTACATGAGAGCTATTACGTGACTTTAAGAGTAAGGAATCTGTAGTAGAGATCAGTTGAGTTAAATCTTTCTGTGCAAAGGCAACCATTTTCTGTGGTAGGAGCAGAACAGCCCCTGCTTTCACCAGGTACCTCCTGAAGAGGTTTTGTAGTCAAATATCTGTTGGTCACCTTTTGCACTTGCATAGCAGAATTATTTCTCCATCGCTTTTTAAGATTTAGCAAAGCTTATGCTACAAGGAAATGAATGTATTGTGCATACAGCAGATTTTTCTACCTTGCTTGCCTCTCCCTACAATGTGAGGTGCACAGGATGAAACCTTGTGGCAGGGAGCAATATCCTTATTTATGGCCTATTACGATCCAGCCTCTTTGAAACCCAGAGCTTAAGAGATGAGCAGTCCTTCATGGTTGTAGATTATCACTGCTTTTCCCCTCAGCATTCAGGCATGGTCACAGCTGCTGATTCAGAGGGATTACACTGGTAACATTTCAATAAACTATAGCATTGCTGGCACTTTATAGAGCTGCTTCCTGTGCTATTTCCTGAGAAAAAGAATTCCCCAATCAATACTGTTAATTCCCTGTAACAGTTGGGTTGTAACTATCTTGGCAGAGTTTGAAGTACTGTGATATAGTAGTTCTGCATCATACCACACAGAAGTAAGCTGGCACGGTAAAAATTTGGGGCTATTTTTCTTCATCAGGCTAGCTTAGAATTAAAGTCAGAAGTTAGTATACTTATCAAACAAAAGTGATAGAAAGATCCTTCACATCCTATAGAAGCTGAAGACAGAGGCTGAGCAAAATTTAGCAACTACATTTTTTCTTAGTTCATGAGGTTTTGAGATTTTTCGCTTTTGTGAAAAATAATTCTGGATTTGGATCAGACTGTGCATTTTTAATTTTTTTCTTCAGAGAAAAAGAGAACCAAAGTCCCCAATGGAAATGTTTGGAAGAATATTTGGCATTTATCATATCAGCCTAACCTTAATTTTAAAACCACTCAAATTATGCTTCTCCTCTCTGTATTTGCAACCTCTTAGACTTACAACAGAAAAAGGCCTTGTTGGCCCCAACTCAATTCACTTCTATGCAATCTCTTGCACTTGTAAAAAATACACCAGAATCTCTAAGTCTCCCTATGTCCTATCATGTCCCCTGTGCAAAATAAACTGGGGACTAGGTGGTGCTGAGCAAATTAGGCTCATTTTATGTCTCTTAAGAGACTCTTACCTAGGAAATTTCTGGTTTCCTTTTACAGTCCTATCTCTCCATCCATTTTAGTCACCATTAAAACAGAACAAAGTTTGTGATTTTGTATAATATATGCAATACAGAACTGTAAATAAATAGCATCTTTTAAAAAACAGTGCTCCAAGCACTATATTTAAATCTGTAGGCACTGATTGAGTGAAATACTACGTCAAAATTATTTCAGTCATTTCCACGTAGAGTACTAGCAAATATAATCAGGAAAACCAATACAAACAAAATAAAAAGAGCTCTTTTAAAGTGCTTATCTCGGAACTACATTTATTTTTATTGAATATATGCATGCAGTTTGTTCTGATTGCACAACAGGAAAGCGTGTAAGTAGATTGTATAAAATGGTGCAATATGCAATATTTCTGCTTAGTCCAACCTGATGGCAAATCCTAGAACTATGATCTTTGTGAGTTATTTAAAGTCATTATTTTCTAATGGATCATCTGAAAAAAAATGTCCTTTCTTCCTTAATCTAGAAGAAGGTGATCTTTGCCCCTCTGCTCTTATCTTAGGAGGCCTCACCTGGGGTGCTGTGCCCAGCTCCAGGGTCCCCAGTGCAGGAAGGACATTGACCTGCTGGAGACAGCCCAGAGCAGGGCACCGAGATGGGCAGAGGGATGGATCCCTTCTGTGGAGGAAGGCTGAGAGAGTTTGGGATTGTTCAGCCTGGACATGAGAAGACTCCAGGATGACCTTACAGAACCTTCCACTACCTGCAGGACATCCGGAGAGAGACTTTTTACGAGGTCATTGGAATAGGGGGAATGGCTTTAAATTCAAAGAGGGAAAGGATGAGATCAGATAAAAGAAGTTTTTTACAGTGTGGGTGATAAAACAATGGAGCAAGTTGCCCAGAGAAGCTGTGGATCCCCCATCCCTAAAAACATTCATGGCCAGACTGCACAGGGCTCTGAGCAACCTGACCTAGTTGAAGATGTTCCTGTCCATGGCAGACTGGTTGGACTAGAGGGCCTTTAAAAGGTCCCTTCCAATTGAAGGATTTTATAAGTCTATGATTTTCTAAGTCCATTGATCTTGGGTTTAGAGTGGGAAATCCTATATTTCCAAAACATTTCTATTGTAATAATAGAGCTGAAGCTCTGAAGCCAGTAAATTCTTCTATAGTCAAATAAAGAAAATGATGCAAATTTACATCTGGGGATATTTCTGTTAAATCAAGCACACATTAGAAATGAATTAGATAGTTAAAGTAAAATTTCTTCTAAAGTCTTCCCTGGACAGTCCTCTCTTCCATAAGCAATTTTAATTACCTAAAAATTAAGGCACAAAGAATAGAGAATGGGCTTTGTAATCTGACATGATCTGTATAAATGCACAGCTACCTATAGAGGGGTAGGGCCCAAAACTTTAGCAGTGACTTGTGGATGTAGATGTCTGAGGAACAGCAGGAATGGCCAAGCCTGGAAGCATTAAACATGCAGATTGTCACTTCAGATTATTTCCTTGCTATCAATTAAAGCAATTAGGATAAAGAAAAATAATACACATTTTATAGGTGAGAAGAAAAATGTAAAAGAGACAGCCTACCCTCAGGCTTTATCAAGATAGGCTTGTACAAATTTATGTCTCTCTTGAGAGGTGTTTCTCTAAGCGTTTCAAGAGCTTTCCAAGAGAGTCCATTAACTCTCACAACAGCATCTCCAGATCTGCAGTTCCAGCCTGTGACTCAGGGATCTGATTCCTTTTTAATCTCAGATGATGGACGTGATGAATTAGCTGCAGTGCAATGGTCCTAAGCTGTAAACCAGGACCATCAGAAAAGACACACACCTTCCCCATCAGTCACGCATTTTCTCTTTTGAGAATACTACTTTGCATGCTGAGGAGAAATCAGAGGTCCTTGTCACCTGCTCCAGCATACAAGGTTTCTCTGTAAACTACCTTGTCACCTTGTGACCTGCTAATACTTCCCAAAGAAAGACATTTTGTGTTGCAGAAAACTAATCATGGTCACTTTTTTGCCAAGATAGGTCCATGTTACTCATCTTAGAAAAACCCTCAGTGTGCCTAACAAACCTGTTGCTTAGGTGACATTGTTAGTAGTGAATTTGCCACAGTTTAAACACAATCTCCCTGCTTCTTTCTAGGGCTTATTTCCAGCTCCTTCTCACTAGCAGTCCTGCAGGTAGCCTTGATGATCCAGGCTGCAAGGATAGCAAACACACATGTCAAAAAAGAATTTTAGAACTTAAGAGAGTTCAAGATGCATTTTGAGAGCTGAGAAATTTAATATGAGGATATTTAGCTTTCAGTAAGTCTCAAGGAAGTGTTTCTGTGTTTGCTTAGCCTGGTGTTCCCAGCACATTACTGTGTTCAGAGGAGTCTCTCTGGGAAGCCATCTGGAATGGCAGAGCACAGTGTGTGCTATCTTTCCTTGTTGCCAAATACATGCATTCAATTAATGATAATCATCTGCTGCTTCTACACAGTGATACTTTTTTTTTTTCTTTTTCTTGAGTAGTCTCATCCAAGCTTTGCATAATCACCTTAGGAAACCTTGGTGCTGGGAATTTGATTTCCTTCCCAGGCTGTAGCACACCAGTGGGGTCTGACACAGCTCTTGCTGGATGAGGGGAGGAAGTGGAAGCACAATAGAGTTGCTTTCTCTCACACGTTCACAGCTGGGCTCCCAGACAGAGTCAGCAGAACAAAATATTACATAGCCTGCAGAAATGTCATCAGGCTTGAGAGGTGCTGATCTGGGAGTAACAATTGCTCTAAGAACAGCTGTTTCATCCGTAGAGATTTAGCAGTTCCACCAGGGAAACAGTTTAGCCTATTTTCCTATCGTGGAAAAAACTTATTTCAGATGTGATTGTGAACAAAAGCAGAACAATCCTTTTAGGGCTAAAACAAATGCACAAAAAAGGCCAAATTGCATTTAGGACTGTACCAAGACTGAAATCATCCCTCAATCTTAATCATACTATGCATAATTTTAAATGGTAAGGAAATAAATTTGAAATGGAAAATAATTACCTAAATGACACTTCACATACATTTAACTTTATCAATTACCTTTTAATTAATATCTTATATTAAAGGTAAATTTTGACCTAAGTGGATCTGCACTGGAAAGTAAATATATATTCCTCATCCCTGGCTGAGATCAGGATAACATCAGGTGAAGATGTGGTGGGAGTTCAGAGCAGCAGTACCAGACAACAGCTGCTCACGACCACACATCAGGAGCCACAGGCCATTCCAACACCTGTAGAAAAATGCAGGTTTTCAGTAGAAAAAGTTTTGTATAGGTTGCTTTCTGGTGCTGTTTCAGTGAAGACAAACCAAAAGCTTTTCCCTGTACAAGCATAAAAAATGTGACTTTACACAGACAGGCAAAAAAAGATTCTTTAAAAACTGTTGCTAAACTTGAATAAAAACCATT